TAAAAAAAAAAATCAAAAAAAAAAGTGTGAGAGGTAGGTATTTAGAATATTCTGAAAACTCTGCCGAAATTCTGAAAAAGCGAAAAAAAAAGAGAGAATGAGCCAAAAATTTCAAGTGCCATGTTTCCCGTGTTCCGTCCTAACTGGCCGAACTACGCGGGTCTGATTCTCACCGGATGTGAGATACGTAGGCAAACCTCATCGGTTCCGATCCCAATGTTCAAAAAAGTCCAAAAACATTTTCTTTTAGTTCCTTCTTTAGAAATCTTTCCTTAGAAAATTCCAAAAAAAAAAAGAGAAAAAAGATTTTTAAACTCAAAAAAAATTAGTTTCCTTCTCTTTGAAGTCTTTCATACGAAAAAAGAATAAAAAGAAAAATAAATAAAAATCAAAATCCAAAATACGGGTTCCTTCATTTTGAAGTATTTTTTCAAAAAAAAAAAAAATCCAAAAAAAATCAGAAACAAAAATTCAAAAAATACTCTTTTCCTCTTTAGATGTCTTTCTTTTGTAATGCCCATAAAAATTTTGAAAAAATTAAAGTCCAAAAATATTTTCGCTTCTCTTTAGAAGTACTTTTGTAAATAAATAAAAATACCCAAAAATCCAAAACATTTTCTTAAAAGTCCCTCTTTCGAAAATTAGGAGACAACTTCCAAAATCCAAAAATATTTTCTTTATTCTTCAGAAAAAGAGAAAACAAATGAAAATTCAAACAAAAATATTTTCTTTTTACTTTTAAAATTTCCCAAAGTTCAAATCAAAAGCAAATGAATTTTTAGAAGTCTTTCTTTCAAAAACAAAACAAAAATCAAACCCAAAAAAAGAAAATTCCTTTCTTCTTTTAAAGCATTTTTTTAGAAAATTCCAAAAGAAAAAAAAAATCAAAAAACAAATATGTTTTCTTTTGCTTAAAGCTTTCATGGTCTAAGTCTTTATAAAAGTAAAAAATAAGATTTAGCTTATTTATTCCATTCTTAATCTTCCTGAACTACGCAAGATCTGATTCATGCGGGGTCATGATACGTAGGCAATCCCTATCGGATTCGATCATAGTTATAAATAAGTTGAGTGAAAAAATAAATTGAAAAAAAAAGAGAGTGAAAAAGAGTGAAAAGAGAGCAACAAAAAAAAAACAAAAAAAAGGAAAAAGGAAAAAAAAGAGTGCCAAAAATAAAAGAGCGGCAAAAACAAAATGGAAAATCAAGAGTGATTAGAGAGAAACAATGATGAAGAAAAGAGGTCCATACTGAAAAGTTAGTTAAGGCCGGGATGAAACATGCAACCGTTCAGACACACGGTAGGAGCGTCTAACTGTTAGGTGCATTGCATCCCAACGTGCGATTTCCTAAATGTTAAATGTTTCAAAACTAACAAGGTTGTTGGATGTGCAAAAAGCCAGGTTTTGGTGGTTGGTTTTGATGGTAGTCTAGCCTCCCCTCCTTCACAAAATCCCAAGGCACAGATGGCCTCCACAAACAATCTATCAATCGTCAATCCTGAGGATAGCCCGTCATCGACTATTCTGCAGCTAGAATCAGCAGCTGCTGAAGAGAATAAGATGTTGCGTCTCCGCATAATGAAAATGTGGGACGCCTGGTCTAATGGTAGGGAACCGCCAAATGCAATCCTTGGGTTCCCTGAGTTGATCCCCAGGTCAAGTGAGGTTACTAATGCCCATGTGCCCAACCTGCTCATCCCATGCGGGCACCCTCCAATGCCTTCTGTGGTTCGCCCCCAGGCACCGGCTTCACGGGCACCGCCTCCAATGTTCACATTTCGGGGTTCACAGGTTCAGTCAGAAATAGCATATGTGACCCCATACTCTTTCACTCAACTTCCACAATGTGATCTCTCAGTGGAGCAAGAAAAGGTTGTTAAAAATCCCGAGCAAGAGGAAATGGCTTAGAAGATGAAGAGCTTAGAACAAAGCCTGGAAAACATGCAAGGTCTGAGTGGCCAAAAGAGTGTCTCATACTCTGATCTCTGTATGTTTCCCCCATGTCCACTTTCCAGCTGGCTTCAAGATGCCAAAATTTGAGAAGTACAACGGGTACGGAGACCCGGTCGCTCATCTGAAACGATACTGTAACCAGTTGAGGGGTGCTGGTGGAAGAGAGGAGCTGCTACTGGTTTATTTTTGGGGAAAGCCTCACCGGAATCACTTCTGAGTGGTATACGGATCAAGAAATTACTCATTGGCATGTGTGGGATGATATGGCTCGAGATTTTGTCCGTCAGTTCCAGTATAATGTGGAGATCGCTCCCGACAGAAACACTTTGTCCAATTTGAAAAAGGAAACCGCGGAAAGCTTTCGCGAATATGCTGTCAAATGGCGTGAGTAAGTGTGACGACCTGACCCGTCGTCTCATGTATTTCCGTCCTGTTTTCCCCGTTATACGCTTATTCATGTTCCAATATGTGTACTTGGTGAATTTGAGTCAATTCGGATCGAGTTTGGTAGGAAATGGGACAATTAGTCTCTTTAATGAAAAATTAGTTTGAAAAAGTCAACCGGACGTTGACTTGTGAGTTAGAGGGCTCGGAATTGAATTCCGATGATTCGGTTAGTTTCGGGGGATGATTTAAGGCTTAGGAGCGCAATCAGAATTAATTTTGGAGGTCCGGTGAAGAAATTAGCCTATTTTGGCGAAGTTAGTATTTTGGCGATTTCCGGTTGATAGGTGAGATTTTGATCCGGGAGTCGGAATGGAATTCCGACAGTTCCAGTAGCGTCGTTAGGTGATTTTGGACTTGTGTGCAAAATTTCAGTTGATTCGGAGGTGAGTTTTAGTTTAACTTAAGCTTTGATTTGATGAAACTTGACGATTTTGATGTTAACGATGATGTTTTTATGGTTCGAGCAAGTTTGAATAAGGTAATAGAACATATCTGTGCCTTTGGTTGAGGTCCCGAGGGCCTCGGGATGATTTCGGATGGCTAACGGGGATTTTTGAGTTGAAAAAATGCAGCAGAAATTGCAGAGGAAATTTGCTCTTCGCGATCGCGAGCCCGGGGCTGCGATCGCATAGAAGGAATTGGAGGGGGCTCAGAGTTGCTCTATGCGATCGTGTGAGGATGTCCGCGATCGCGTAGGGTCGTTTGGCAGTGCTCTGCGATCGCGTGGGCTTACCTGCGATCGCGTAAGAGGATTTCAGGGGGGCTGGAATTTTGTTCTCCGCGATCGCGTGAATTGGGACGCGATCGCGTATAAGGCGCTACAGTGGTCCGGACAGAATGTTAAAAACATTTCAGTCCGCGACCCAAGCTCATTTCCACCATTTTTGAGCGAGCTTGGGAGCTTTTCTCGAGGGTTTTGAAGAGTTTTGACTGGGAATCGATTGGAGGTAGGTTTTATGAGTTAAATACATGATTTTATTGAAGAATCATCCTTGAAATTCATGAAAACATAGCAAAATTGTAAGAAATTAGGGCTTGAGATTGAAACTCTAAAATGGTGATTTGAGGGGTCAAATGAACTCCGATTTTTGTGAATTTGGTATGTATAGACTCGTGGCGAGATAAGGGTCGTATTGATGTAAAAATTTATGGATTTCGAGACGTGGGCCCGGGGCTCGGGTTTTGCCAATTTCGTGATTTTCGACATTTTTCGAGTCTTTTCGATTGGGTTATATTCCCTTAGCCTATTGTAATGTATTCGTTGTGGTTTTGGCCAGATTCGACGCTCGAGGAGGTCGATAAGAGAGGAAAGGGCATCGCGGTGTAGTATTTGGCAGGCTAGAGGTGAGTAATAGATGTAAATGCTGTTCTGAGGGTTTGAAACCCCGGACTTTCACATCGTAATGCTATATTGAGGCGTGACACGCACTCTATGACGAGTGCGGGGTCGGATACTATTGGGGATTGTGACTTGGTCCATCCCGTGTGATGTTTATACTATACTGGTGATTGATACACATACGTTATTGATATTACTGGGCTTGAGGCCATGTTTGGGGCCTTGTGCCGACTTGTAAAATCCTTCGAGGATTGATATTACTGCTTAGCATGATTTGCATATCATTTAGTTTCAGTCCAAGGTTTTAAATACTGCTTTGCAAACTCAGCCATAATTCTAAGTGTTGAAAACTTAAATGACATTATAAATGTATTTCGGGCTGGGAACTTCTGTTTGAAAATGCCCAATGGGCTTATTATATTATTTTCTGGACTGATTATAAAGTGACTTGAAATAGTGGTAACAATGACACTGTAATATATACTTGGAACACTGGTAACAATGGCACTGTATGATATAAATTGGTCAGGTAACAATGGCTGACCGGTCAGGTAACAATGACTGACCAAGATATTGCGCTTGGGCTGTAGGAGCCCCTCCGGAGTCTGTACACACCCCCAGTGAGCGCCGTCGACGATAAATAATATGGATGGCTCGGGCTGCACGCCGCAGTGGGTACTGGAATGTACCATTATATGCATTGCATTGCATTCATGCATTTGTATTTATACTGTTGTTTAGCTGCTCAGTTCCATATGTTGCTGTATATTTGGATTTTAGCTTACTTTGTGTATTTACTGGATTTTCTTATCTTCGGACTGTAATTACTTTTATTACTCACTGGGTCGGAGTACTCACTTTACTCCCTGCACCTTGTGTGCAGATCCAGGGCAGTCTCAGGCTTAGTAGATCCAGTTGATCAGTAGATCCAGCTTCTGGGAGTATCAAGGTAGCTGCACGGCGTTCGCAACCATTGATCTTCTCATTCCTATCCTATCTTTTTTTTTATTTCCGCATCATCAGACTTTGGATATACTATGTATTAGGATGATAATCTGTATTCTAGAGGCTCAGATTCGTGACACCGGGTCCTAGTGAGATTATATGGTGTATTTTATTAAATTCTTCAGTACTTTGATCTTGACTTAATTGATATCTCTTTCCGCTATTTTTGATAAATTAGGTTAAGTGTTGAATGATGGTCGGGCTTGCCTAGTAGTGTGCTGGGCGCCACACGACCGAGATTTGGATCGTGACAGCAAGATGCCAGGGTAAAGCCTCCAATGGATGAAACTGAAATGGTCATGGTCTTTTTGCAGGCCCAAGAGGCTGACTACTTCCAGAACATGATGTCTGTTGTGGGTAAGCCGTTTGCTGAGGCTATCAAAATCGGGGAAATGGTTGAAAACAGTCTGAAAACGGGCCGAATCTTGAGTCATGATGCTTTTAAAGCCACATCACCAGATGTTCAAAATGGTTCGGAGGGTTCGATGAATAGAAGTGAGATTAAAGAGGGAGTCATGACAATGTCAAGCTCGAAGGGGGCCCGCGGGTCATTCAGCCAATCGTATGTGCCTCCTATCGTCCCACCACACTATTATCCTTTTTCAGTTGCTGCTTATGCTGTGGCACCTCCTCCCTATGCGGTGATGAATGATCAACCTTACCCGCTGCCACAACATTATCCACAAAACCGAGCTCCACTTCCCAGAAATGCCCATCCTTACCAAGCTCCATATAATCCTCAACCAACTGTTCCCCAATACAATCCTCGCCCAAGAGAGTCTTTCAGAAAGAATCAGTTCACCCCTATTGGTGAATCATATTCAAGCTTGTTCCAAAAGCTAATCATGATAGATCTATTACAGCCAATTGCCCCGAACCGACCGAATCCCGAGTCCCCCTCGCACCGAGCTGATGCTATATGTGAATACCACTCTGGAGCAGTGGGACATAGTACAGAGGACTGTTGGACCCTCAAAAGGGCAGTTAAAGATTTGATCGAAGCTGAAAGAATTATTTTTCAGGATGAAGAAGCTCCTGATGTGATGAACAATCTGTTGCCTGCCCGCAACATCGGGTCAATAGTCGGAATGATCTGTGAAGCTGAGGAATTTGATCCGGCACTGAAGGCTATTGCAGCCATTGCCGAGACAGGAGAAAAGCCAAAAAAAGGTTGCCACGCCTAAAAGTTCCCCATCAGACGGGAGTCTTGGTAGCCAGTCTTGCTATCCTTTCTGCGTCCGGATTATCTCAGGGTGTGATCCGGATGTTTTACTTTATTGTTTTACTTTCCGATGTAAACCCTTCTATCTTCAAAAATTGAAAAAAAGAGAGAAAAAAAATCAATCAAAAATCAAAAATCAAAAATCAAAAATCAAAAATCAAATGAAATTAATATTTCATTTTCCAGGAATATCTCTTTTCTTAATCTTGTCAATTTTCTCATTCTCTTTTAGTTCTGTTAAATGTAGATTTCAATAACATGACATGCTTGCGGACTTCATGCCCGGATCTTAAAACGCTGTCAGACCTCGAAATAATGAATCAAGAATTGGGTCGCAATGAAGATTAACTTAAGGAAATAAAACAAAGAGTTGGAACAACTGAAGGATAATTGGTTCCCGAAATTGGAAAGGTCCATACATTACAACAAGAGTACTGCCAAAAGAGTGTGTTGTACTTGGGACACATCGAAGGAAATATCCTTGAAACAACTGTCAATGCAAATGCAGTCAAAAGATACTATGTTGGATCCTTTATATAATAAAAATTTTCTCCGGTTGGGATGAAGAAGGCTTTTATTCTCGCTACCCAAATACTATCAACCATTTGCAAACCCTTTGAGCTGGTTACTCTTCTTTGGCTACCCCCTTTGGAACTTGAAAGTATTATTAAAAAATTGATTGAAAGAAAAAAAAAGATACAAAAATGGAAAAAGAGAAGAAAAAGAAAGATGCAGAAAAAAGAGAGGAAGAAAAGACCAAAAAAAAAAAAAGAAAAAAAAGAAAAAAAAGAAAATGAAAAATGAAAAAAAGAGGAAATGGAAAAGAAAGAGAAAACAAAACAAAACAGAAAAACAAAAGAAAATCAAAAAACAATGTTCCCTGAACTACGTTCGACTTGATTCCGAAAGGATACGTAGGCAGCCTCTCTCTGGGGTTCAGTCACACCAAAATAAAAATCCAAATTCCCCCAAAAGTGAAACTGGGGAAGAAGTTATAATGGTCTGGCGATGGGTTCGCCTGAAAGGTTCCAAAGTTGTAACTCAATCCAAATCCTTTTTACCCCAAAACCTTGTTCAAGTCCTTCCGATCAATCGGTGAGAATGTTTAAGGATCAGAGAATACAACTACTTGGATCCGATGCAATCCAAGTTGAAAAATAAAATAAAATGAGAGAGTCTTATTGGTGAAACCCACACGGGCACCATGAGGCGATGGTAAGCAGAGAAATGAAAAATGAGAGTCTTGTTAGTAAAACTCGTAAAGAGCACTATAAGGCGAGAAGAGAAATGAGAGAGATCAACTCGTGAAAACCCGCAAAGGGCGCCCTTGATCGAAAAGAGGATCCTCACAACCACCGGCACCGACAGAGTCCTGGCAAGGTTTCTCGATTTTGAGGCAAAATATTGTGATGAATTTCTGAGAGTCGGACGGTTTACACAGATCAGGCATCCAGTCCAAAAGGCATGTCATGTTCATTGAAGTCCGCATGTACTCCAGATAAGTCCTTCTTCTTTCTCCGAAAGGGACACTTTTCCTTAAATTCATTTTCTTGTCCTTTGTTTACTTCTCTTGAATCCCTTTCGGTCTAACTCTGTTTCGAAACTAATACAAAGAAAAGGTGGCAAGATTGGTTTTACAGGGTTCTGTCTAATAAAAACCAAGTCCAAAGAAAAGTGCCCAGCCTCAGCAGGTGCGTCAAGTCGATCCCGACTGGCCATGATGGCCCATTCTCCAAAATCAGAATTACTGAAAATGAAAAGGAATCCAAAGTCAAAAGCCTATAGAGGCAGAATAAGGTGAAAGGGTTGAAAGCCCCATACGATTGAACCGTCATCTGGAAGGTTTGGAAAGTTGAGTTCCTCGGTCTTAGGAGAGAGATCAATCTTCATAAAAGCCAGCAAACAGCAGAGGTTATCACCAAAAGAGTTGGGCCGAGATCAAGTGATCAAAAAACAATCAAGGCCACAAAACCAACCATCGTTTCAAACTAACAATTGTTCTTTGTTTGAAAAATTGAAACAGGTACATTCTAAAGCAACCATGCAAAAAGCAGGTGCAACCAAAAGGAAATGCGCAAGGGTTAGGAATAGCTCTGCAGCAAGAATCAAATCCAAAAGGGAAGTCTCCTTCAAATTCTTTCCTGCATTTTACTCATTTTCTTAAATTAAAAAAAAAGATTGATGAAAAAAAAATTTGTAAATCATGGTAGCATAGGGCCTCCAATCTCTAGCTGCATCCTTTTCAACATAGGGTCCCATTCCCTAGTCGCTGCCAGCATAACCTGGTAGTCTTTTCCATTACAGGGTTCCACTCCCTAGTTGATCCCTGGCATAACCCGCGGATCCTCCTTGGCATAACCCAAGGACCTTTTTCTTTTATCACGGCATAACCCGTGGACCTCCTTGGCATAATCCAAGGACCTTTTTCTTTTATCCCGGCATAACCCGCGGATCCACCTTGGCATAACCCAAAGAGATTTTTCTTTCCAAATCCCGGCATAACCTGAGGATCTCCCTGGCATAACCCAAGGAGCTTTTTCTTTCCAAATCCCGGCATAACCCGTGGATCTCCCTGGCATAACCCAAGGAGCTTTTTCTTTCCAAATCCCGGCATAACCCGTGGATCTCCCTGGCATAACCCAAGGAGCTTTTTCTTTCTAAATCCCGGCATAACCCGAGGATCTCTCTGGCATAACAAAGGAGCTTTTTCTTTCCAAATCCCGGCATAACCCGTGGATCTCCCAGGCATAACCCAAGGAGCTTTTTCTTTTCAAATCCCGGCATAACCCGTGGATCACCCAAGGAGCTTTTTCTTTCCAAATCCCGGCATAACCCGAGGACCTCCCTGGCATAACCCAAGGAGCTTTTTCTTTCCAAATCCCGGCATAACCCGAGGATCTCCCTGGCATAACCCAAGGAGCTTTTTCTTTCCAAATCCCGGCATAACCCGTGGATCTCCCTGGCATAACCCAAGGAGCTTTTTCTTTCCAAATCCCGGCATAACCCGAGGATCTCCCTGGCATAACCCAAGGAGCTTTTTCTTTCCAAATCCCGGCATAACCCGTGGATCTCCCTGGCATAACCCAAGGAGCTTTTTCTTTCCAAATCCCGGCATAACCCGAGGATCTCCCTGGCATAACCCAAGGAGTTTTTTCTTTCCATCCCGGCATAACCAAAGGACCTTTTTTCCGGTATAACCCAGTCATTTCCCAGTATAACTTGGCTTCATTCCTAAGGATACACAATCCTGACTTGTTCGCTTAGATATGTGTCACAACTAACTCACGAAATTTTTCTAGTGAAAACTGGGGCAGAAAAATTTCGTCCGTTTGTTTGTTTTGGTGTCAGAGCAGGTTTGACCTTGGGTCACAGGATTCGAGATGACCAAAAAATGATTCTCAGTCCAAAATAAAGAAAAGAAGAAAAAGAACAAAAAAGAAGTGAACTCAAAGTGCTGAAGTGGAGAAAGATGCGGACTGTTCAAGATATGACTGAAGTCACAAGCTTCGCATGTCCCGCCTTGATCCGAAAAGCCGAAGAAGAAAGAACCAGCACCTGCAGCTAACAAGCATCAATATTCAGATCAGAGTTCGCATGAGGAACCAACCAAGACTCAAGATCAAGCTTCAGAAGACTCGTAGATGGGAATCTTGTAACTCGTAGCTGATAGGCTTAGTTAGTCTTTTTTATTTTTGATTTTGATGTAATAACGGGACCGCAGACCGGAATCTCGACGGAACCTCGCTCGGCTCTCAACCTCGGTACTCCATCACCTCACTCACTTCCAGAACTACACTGACCTGATTCCTTTATAGCCAAGGATATGTAGGCAACCTCTGAAACAATGTTCAGTCA